TCGGGAGGCTGAGGCAGGAGGATCACCACATGTTAGAGACCAACCTGGGCTATACAGTGAGCACAAGACCATTCTGAACTGCATAGTGAGACCCTGTCTTGAACAAACATGAAACCAAAGTGGAAGTGAGCAGACAAAGAAGACGAATCTCACTGCCTGGAGAGATTGGACCCTGCCATGGCTGTTGCTCCCTCGCCTGTCATCCCAGCACTGTGGAAGGCTGAGGCAGGAGGGTCACAAGTTCAAACCCAGACTGGGCAACTTAGCCACTGTCTCAAAATAAAAACTGGTAAGAGGGCAGAGGATGTAGCTCAGTGCAAAGCTCTGGGTCCCAGCCTGAGAACCAAAACACAGACGGATGGGAGCCCCCTGGGATTTGAGGCCCCTCTCCATTTAGGCCAAGTAGGCTTAGGCCAAGCTGACTGTCCCAAGCCACTTGGCTCTCTGGAGCAAGAGGCCCCGGGTTCAAATCTTGCCTCTGCCGCTTGGCCCTGGCTTCTGAGGTGCACTGGTGAGACAGGTTTGGACAGCGTCCGCCTCACAGGACTGCGGTGATGATTTCCTTGGCGACCACCGAAAGCCATGCGTGCCACCCCACACCCAGGACCCCGCCCTCAGCCACCTTGGGGACAGCGGGGACAGCACCCCATGTCCAGCCATGTTCTCCCCGAGTCCGAGTCCTACCTCAGTTCTACACAGAAGCTGGTTCCCCGGCCCATGCCACGCTCGCCACCAAAGGCCAGGCCCTGTGACCCTCCCTGCACCCCGAGGGGGCCAGCTGCCCTCTTCACTGAACACTGAGGCTTTTTTTTTAGACAGTGCCCCTCTGTAATCCAGGCTAGCCTGAAACTCAAGGGGATTCTCCTGCCTCAGCTTCCTGACAGCTGGGGTTAGGGGTGAGCATCACTGTTCTGGTTTGTGTCCAGCCATCCCCCCAAAGCCTCGTGCGGTCACAAGCAGCCCTTTCTCAGAGATGGCTGGATCTAGAGTGTGTGACGCTGGGATCAATTCACAGTGCAGTGCTAGGATCAAGGGCGCGAGGGTTAAGGGTGTGAGTGCGGCCCGCCCTGAGCGGCCGGGGTAAACTACAAGGGGTGGAAAGGCGCTGTTGCGGTCCCTTGCTGCGTTTGCTGCCTTCTGCCCACCATGAGCTGGCTCCCCTCTGCGGTGCACCCTGCCTTGGAGCCAGCTGACTGTGGACTGAACCTGTATAATCTGTGACCCAAGTAAACCTTTCCTCCCTTGACTTTGGGTGTTGGGTATTTTGTCTCAGTGGTGAGAAGAGACAACCCCTGTGCCCAGCAAGAGCTCTGAAGGCTTTTTACAAGTGAGTTCATCAGTGTGCATGGCTCGTGCCTGATTTGGTCGCTGTGACAAGCGTACTGGGACTGCAAAGTGTCCCCCAAGTGTTCTGTGACCCAACCTACGATTCCTCACCTACAACTCCGAAGTAAACGGCGGTCTCCACGTGCACCATTGTGTGGCACCTGCGCTATCTATCCTTACAGAACAAATCACCCTGAAGCTTAGTGGCTTAAGACAAAATTTTAAATTTTATTTTGTTTGCTTTTTGAAGTAGGGTTTCACTTTGTAGTCTAGGCTGGTCTTGAACTCACTGTGGCCTCAAACTCTTGGCCATCCTCCTGCCTCAGCCTCCCGAGTGCTGGCACCACAGGCCATGTTCAGCAGACAACAAACATTTATCACCTCATAATCTGTGGGCCAGGAACCCAGAAGGAGCTTCTCAGGGTTCCAGAAGCTGTCTCCTGGTGGCCATCAGGGGGCTGAGGGTCCCCTGACAAGAAGGCTGTTGCAGGAGGGGTCTTATGGTTTATATACTGTGTCAACTTGGGGAGTCTAGAGGTTTGGCTAAGTGACTCAGCAGTTCTACCTCCTGGGGTGAAAAGGACACGCCCTTCCTGCTCTAAGATGTTGTTCATTGCCTCAATGTGAGAAGTTTAGAAGGTTAACTATGTGAGTGCCGTCCCCTGGGTGGGGGTAGCCTTCTTACAATATAAGGGAGGGAAAGAGGCTTGAACGCAC